CCAGGTTTGTTTCCTGTGCCCATCTCAGAGTGTGGGAGGGGGGGAACTGCTGGAGGGGACGCTGCACCCCTGGGACGCTGCAAATGAGGGGGGGTCGGGACAAGACAGACTGCACCAACACCGAGCTGAGCTGCCAGAAAGCAACACCAAGAAGGGCACCACAACTATGAACACGAGACCCCCACCCGCTCCCCAACCCTGATATGTTCACTGTGATATGGAGCAGCACAAAATTGATGGGGCTGGGGGACACCTCCAGGGATGCCCCCTCACCCCACAGCGACACACATCACTGCCCCCCGACATGGGGCGAGCGTAGGAACCGACGGGAGGGGGCACGGGCAATAAGTTACTCTGTACCACGTGTTGGGAGGAGGTGGGGGGCTGGGTGCCACCACGGCGTGTCCGGGACTGGCAGACTGCATGCCGGTGCGAATCAAACACAGAACAATGCACAAAGTGATGGAGATGGGGAGAGGGGAGATGGCCCCGTGTGCCCTGAGCACTGCTGCGGGGGGGGGGGCTGCACAACGGGGCCCCCCGGACACCGGCCCTCATCCCTCACGGGGGCACGAGGTCAGTGCCACCCGGTCCTGCCCTGTGGGATGCTGTGGAGATGCGCTGGATGGATCATCCCAGGAACGAGAGGATGGGAAACGTCACTCTGTCACCAGCCGGTGCCCCCCGCCGGTGTCACGGAGTGGAGAGAGAGCACAGAACCATCAGAGCGTCCTGCAGCCCCCGCCAGGGCCCGGCCGGGTGCTCACATGGGCACGGGGGCGGCGGATCGGCTGCTCTCTCCGCTTTGGCTGCCAACACCAAATCCATTGGCCACGTTCCGGCTCCCGCGGGGCCATCGGCGGAAGGGAGTTCCCAGGGCCGGGGCCGGCGCCGCGGGGGCTCAGCCCGAGGTGGGGGCCGGGCTGTGCCGAGCCAAAGCCCCCCAGGCGCTGCCTCTGCCCCGCTGGAGCCGTGCCCGGAGGGGGGGCCGGGGCCGCGCTCCCCCCTTCCATGCTGGCGGTGGTCGCTGGGCTCTGGGCAGCGGGAATGCAGAGTGCAGCAGTGCTGACGGAGGGGGAAAGTTCCAGGCTGTGGCCGATGGAGGCAGAGGGATGGGGTGGGAAGGGGGACCGGCATGGGGACAGTGAAGTGATGAGGAGGTGATGGGGAGAGGTGGAGCACTACAGGATGGTCTTGTCCAGGTCGACCTTGAGTGGCAGCGGCCCCACATCCTCACCGTGTGTGGGGCACAGAGTGACGGCGATGACGGGTGGCAGTGGGAACACACTGGGGCCACGCAGGTCCTCCAGGCACTCCCTGTCTCCATTGATGCTCAGAGGCTGAAAAACAGCAGAGGGCACCGTGTGACCTTGGGCCTCACTGTCCCCAGCCTGCAGACGATGCAGCACCGACGCATAACACCCACGAATGCAGCACCCACAGCATAACAGCAGCACAGGGGCGGCCACCAGGCCGGCCCATACCTGAGTCCTGACGTGCTGCTCGGGGGCGGTCACCAGGCTGGCACAGCTCAGCCACAGCATCACCACGATGGAGAGGAAGAGGCAGGCGGCCAGGATCCAGCGGGGGAGGCCCGAGCGCCTGTAGCACCCCCGAACCCCAGAGAAATGGGGCTGCATTATGGCACTGCACTGGGTATGGGAAGGGGGTCCCCGCAGCCCCCGACACCTACTTGGCCATGCAGCCCAGGAAGTCGTGCTCTGGCTGTGGGGTGTCCATGGGTTTGGCTTTGCCCCACGGCTCCTTCTTGGGGGGGGACTTTTCCTCCTTCTGCTGGGGGCCTGGAAGCAAGAGAAGCAGTGCTGAGAGCGGGCATCACTGTGCGAAGTGCAGGGTGCAGGGTGAGTGGTGCAAGGTGTGAGTTGTGAGGTGCACAGTGCTGGCCGTGTTCCCCTGGTGGCTCGCTCCCTGCAGGGGGTGCACAGAGTTCCTGCAGCTCCTTGCAATGTGTGCCATGGGTTTGGGAAGCAGATCAGAGCCACAATTTGTTCCACTCTGGTGGGATCTGAAGCTGCCAGGAGGGCCCCTGACCCAGACAACAGCAGAGCAGTCCCTCACCTGTGTGGGGTTGGGGGGAGTGGGCATCGTTCCCTGGTTCAGGCCACTCTGGTTGAGTCATCTGAGCTTCGGGCAGCGGGAACTCGATGTGGGGCTGCGACTGGAGGAGGGGAGAAGCAGTCAGCATGAGGGCCCCATCCCATCCAGTCCCCAGCAGAAAGGGCTTGGGACCCCCACCTGGAACACCACCACTTTCCCATCGTCCGCCTGCAGGTAGAAGGTCCACGTGGAGGAGATGAAGCTGTGGGCAGAGCTGACGATGTCGGTGCAGAAAGAGGAGACCAAATCCAGCACCGAGAGCGACGGCGCCTCCACCTCTGCGCTCTGCAAAGCAGCGGGGACGCGGCGTCACCTCAACCCCCCCCATCAAACAGCACCATGCAGGGACACGGCTGCGCCGAGCCCAGCGCTCCTCCAGAGCCCCGTTCCCACACCCCGCAGCCACCAGGGGCCCCTTTGGGACGGACGCCCCCCCCCGGCCCCATCCCGCGGTGTCCCCCCGGCCCCGTGCTCCCCCAGCGGCTCAGGGCGTTCCCGCTGGCAGTGTCCCCATGCCCCGGATTTTTGGCCGTTGTGGCAGTTTGTTATTTTTAACGCATCCCTGCAGGAATCTGCCGCTCCCCGCCGGCGTTTTGCCGACCGCCCCTCGCGCGGTCAGAGCGGCGCACGGGAAAGAAATAGGTCAGATGCTGTCTCTAATTATTCTGCTAAATCTGCCCGGCCCGACCGTCTGGGAAACGCAAAGCAGCGCTGGGGGCGACGCTGTGTCCGTCCCTGGGCTCTGCCCAGTGGAAATGGGATGGAATGGAGTTTTTGGGACCCTCCGCTTTGGCCCTGCTCCCTACAGCACCGCCTCGCTCTGCGCCGAGAGCCCCTTCCTTGGGCTGAAGGCTCGCTTAATTAATTGGGCAAAAGCTGCATTAATTAAACACGGGAAGGAAAGCGTTGATAATTGCTGGGAAGGATCAAAACCCGGGGAATCCACACCAGCGCTCAGCCCACACCTCCCACCCTTGGAACCCACAGCAGAGCCGGGCGGCAGCGGGGGGCACCAGCCCACCCCCCTCACCTGCTCCTTCCTCTGCACGTGGGGCAGCTGCTCGCGGCACCCGGTCCTGCAGCCCCACTGCTCCTCCTCTCCAACGTAGGCCTCGGCGCACGCTGCAGGGCGGGGGTGTGGGGTGAGGATGGAGGGGGGGCAGATCCCCACAGGGGACGCCGGTGCCACCCGCGCCTCCCCGCCTGCACCCATGGGCTGTATGGGATGCAGCGGTGCAGCGGAGGTGTCGGGGTGGGGAGAACCCATTTGGGGTGAGGGGGGGGCGCTCACCTGCCTCACATTCAGCCCTGGTGCTGTTCAGCCCCGCGCTCGCATCCACAAAGTGACAGATGGAGAACAGCCGGCAGCCGCGGTGACAGGCGCTGAGCACAGCGTCCTGCAGGCACAGGGCACAGAGCTGGCACACAGCGCGGCCGGGGGCTGCATCCGACCCCCAGCGTGGCCCCCCCAGGAGACTGCCACACTATGGGGGGCTGCCACCAGCCCCACTGCACCCATAGAGCTGTCAGAGCACTGGGGTCTGTGTCCTGAGAGGATGTGGCACGGCCCTGTGTCGCTGTTGGGCATCCCATATGGGATTCCCTTCTGGAAGGGCTGTGGGGGGTGTATGGGTATGGGGGGGGTGCACACGTTGGGGGGGAGTGCATGGCACTGCGTGCATGGGATCTGCACGCATGGGAGGAGGTTTTCATGCATAGGAGGGCTGTGCACGCATTTGAGGGTTTGCATGCATGGGGCTGTGCGTGCGTTTGGGGTGCGCGCATGGGGGCTGCGTGCTGGGGGGGGGTTTGTAATACACTGAGAGGCTGTGAAAGCAACATTCCGTGTGTGCCTGCGCTGGGGGGGGATCCACCGTGGGGAGGGGCCTATGGGTGCCGGGGGGGTCCATGACACGTACAGTGGGCCCAGATGGGTGCAGCTCCTCCCTCCCCCCTCCCTGCCTCCGGGCAGCGCGGTCCGTCAGGGCTGTTCTACCCGCGGCGGTGTCACGGATCTGCGGCCTCATTCAGCCCCACCGCCGGGGTCGAACCCCCTGCGTTCTCCCCTCCCCACCCCCCTCCCTTCAGCCTCAGTACGGCCCCGTTATCCCCGTTATCTCGGTCCCGATCCGGGGCTCTCAGCGCTCACTTCGCACTCCACCTCCTCACCGCGGCCCCCACCGCCCCCGGGGGATGGGGGGGCTCCGTGACAGGGATACAGAAGGAGATCCCAAAGCAGAATGGGACCCCTGGAGGCACTCAGGCCTGGGGATGGGGACAGCAGTGCAGACACCCCCAGCCCGGGGGGGGTTGCCGGGGGGGCTCAGCAGGGGGGGAACACGCTGACAACCACCCCCCCCCCCCGGTAGCTGCAGGCCCAGACTGCTTGCGGGCAGCGTTGCCCGGTGCTGCCGGTACCCCCCCGCGGCGCTCCCGGTTCCCGGTGCATCCCCCGGTGCCACGGATGCTCCCCCCCGCTTCCCCCCGATGCCCTCAGTGCTCCCTCCCGGTGCTCTGAACACCTCCGGTACCCCTCCCCGGTTCTCCCGGTACCCCCCCGCTGCTCCGGGTCCTTCCCCCCGCCATCCCCCTCAACCTCCCCCCCCCCCCGCCCACTCACCGCCGCCCGGGGCTGCACGCTGCGGCCGCACTGCCGCTGACAGGGGCCGGTGTCCCCGAGCTGCGCCGAGAACGGATCTCCCCCGGCGGCGGCGGTGACGGTGGCGGCGGTGAGCGCGAGGCCGAGCGCGAGCAGCGCGGGGGGGCGCGGGGCCGCCATGGCGGGGACGGAACGGAGCGGAGCGGAGAGGAGATGCCACCGCCGCCGTTCGGCCCCGCCGTGACGCGCCGTGCGCCGGGCGGGGGCGGCGGGGGGAGCCGGGGGGGGAACCGCAGTGCCGCAGCTCCGCCGGTACCGGAACCCCCGGAGAGGGTGCGTGGCACAGGGGGATGAGGGGGTGGTAGGAGAACACGGGCAGTAAAGGGTTAATGGCGGGGGGGGGGGGGGGGCCAGAAGGGACTGAGGGGGTCCGGAGGGACACGGAGGTGTGGGAGGATCGAGGGATGCGAGGACACGGGGGGGGGGGGGGGGGCATGAGGATGGGGGGCTGCATGGGGAGCAGGAGGTGTGGGGGAATCCCGGGGGGGAGATGAAGTGGGGCTGGAGGATGTGGGGGGACACAGGGGGTCGCAAAGCAATGCTGGGAACCTCGGGACGTGGGGGGGACTCTGGGGCCACGAGGGGACACGGACAGAGGCAGGGAGACCGGGGGGGACACGGGGACATGGAGGGGGAGCGGGGCACGTGGGGGCTGCAGAGGGGCGGGGGGCACTCAGGCTCTGCTGGCCATCACCCCCCCCCCGGGCAGCACCCCGCACATCTCCGCTCCCCGCGGATTTCCCACCCCCCCCCCCCGGGCTCAGCGCAGCGCCCGGCCCCAGATTTACGGCTTTTATTTCGCAGGGCTTAGCAGACATCAAAGCGTGGGCTCGGCCTCGCGCTCCCGGCCCTGCCCGTCTCCCTTATTGATGGCAGCACCCCAACGCGGGGGGGAGGGAGGAGGAGGGCGGGGGGCTCCACCACCCCCGGCCCTAATGGGGAACTCATGGCCGGAGCGCTGCCGGGGGGCTCCGTTGGGCCCCTCCATCAGCCCGCTGCTCCTCCAGCCCGTGCGCCTCGTTAGGAGCGGTGGGAGGAACGTGCTCTGGAGGGGCTCGGGTTGGCTGCGCTCCCCCAGCCCCCTCCCAGGCCCTCCTCCACCCCCCCCAGCCCTGCAATCTCCTGTCCGGCGCCGCTGACAAATGGCGAAGTAAATGGGACAGATTGGGGACTGCTGCCGTAAATCACAGCGCGGTGCTGCAGGTGGGTCCCCATCAGCTGTGGGGCAGAGCTGGGGCTGCTGCCAGCGGGGGGGGGGGGGGGAAGGGACGGGGGGGGCACAGAACCTGATGGTCTGAGCGCTGGTGGTGCCAGCACTGGGGCAACGGGGCACCGGGGGCAATGAGGGAAAAAAATGGGGGCAATGGGAGCGATGAGAGCAGTGGGGGCAATGGAGGCACTGGGGTTACTGGGAGCATGGAGGGGGCACTGGGAGCACTGGGAGCACTGGGAGCGCTGCCAGAGCCGCTCCCCACACCGCCCGCCCTCTGCCTGGCACCGTCCCACACTCTCAGCCCCTCCACTCGTGTTTTAATAGAAAAAAACAGAGCCCCTCCCGGGCATTAAAACACCACCGTTGGCAAATATTGACTGTGGGTGACCCCCCCCCCCCTTGGCACTCTGCAGAGCCTCTCAACGCCTTTTGCATTTATCAGTGACCCACATTCCTCCTGCAGCACTCTGTGCCCAATTGGGAGCGGTGCCCCCACGCCCCCCCCAAACCCCACTCCCCATTTTGGTTTTTTTCCCATCGGCGTCGGCGCTGCGCAGGCGGGGGCCGCAGGGTGGGGGCGGCACGGAAGGGGTTAAAGCAGTTATAAATTACCCGACGGACGGACGTGGAAATGCTACAGAGAGGAATAGAAGGAAAACTCGGCCCGCTGGATTCTTGGCATTTCCAGCCTCTTTATTTGTCCCACAGGTCACTTCAGAAGGATGCAGGCGGTCAGACAGCTCCGCTGCGCCCGTCCCTGGGCCGTGCTGGGGGGGGGGTCTGCGTTGTGCACCCTGCCCCCCCTGCAGCCACGTGTGCCCACGTCTGAGGAGCGCCGTGCCGGGAGTCACTGGTGGGGCTCATGGGGGGGGATGCGCTGTGGGGAGGGCGGCATTTTGGGGTGACGTTGGGGAGGTGACACTACGGAGTGACGGTGAAGGGGGGTGGCAGCACTTCGGGCCCATCGGGGGGCAGCCGTGGCCGCCCAGCCCCGCTCGGTGCCGTGGGCAGAGCGCTGCGCACTCAGCGCTGCAAAGGTCACCGCCAAAGGGCAGCAGCTCCATACGGAGCTCCGCTGACTCAGACGGCGCTGCCGCGATCCCGCTGCGCCCGGTCCCCGTCCCCACACCGGGTGTCACCGCCCCGCTGCTGCCCTGACCCCGTCCCGCTCCCCGCCCCGCCCTCGCCATCCCCAGCGATGACACGGAGGTGCCCCCAATGGGGTCCCTCTCCTCAACACCGCCGTCCCCTCCGTGACACCGTCAACCCCCCCCCCCCCTTCACCCACAGGGACCCCACGCGGCCCCGCTCCGGCTGCCCCCCCCCGGCGCTGGCAGGCGCGGAGCTGGGGCGGCACTTTCCCATGCTGGGTGTCTCCCTCAGGCTGACATTTTTGGGAAATTTCAACGAAAACACTTCGGAAGGTTCCAACAAAACGGGACGATGGGAAAAGGCATAAAGGCATTGTTTTGTCTCTTTTTTTTTTTTTTCCCTCCTTTTTTTTTTTTGTTTTCTTTTTTCGTTTTTTTCAATCTGTGCCGCCCCTTCGGATGGGCTCCAGCCGCACGCTGCTTCCATTCCCCACTGCTGTCACCTCTGTCCCCACGCGACGTCACGCTGTCCTGCGTGGCGTCACCCCACGCTGCCAGTCCTCTCCCCACGCAGCCCTGTGAGCAGCACAGCCACACTGTGGGGGGGAGGAGGGCTGATCCTAACTCTCACTGTCACCCCGTGCCTCAGGTGTTCCCTGTCGCAGATCCCGTCCCCATCCCAAGATCAGAGTCAGGGCCGGGGGTCCCGTCCCCCCCCCACATCCCCTCCTCTGGAGGAAGGGTTGGGGACGGTTGGGGTGCGGTACGGCCCAGGTGTCCCCAACACGAGGGGGGGGCGGCTGTCAGCACCCCCTCTGCCTCATCCCACTCTGCTCTGCCGCAGGGACACACGGATGGGGACGGTGCCACCGCCGGGAGCTGCTGGCCCGGGGCTCGGTGCCGTCGCTCCAGTCGGGAACACGAGCTGCGCCACCTGCGGCGTCACGGCCGCCCACCGCTGAGTCCTCGCGTCCCCAGGGGCACCGCGGAGTCCCTCGAGGCATTTTCTCCACTTCTGTTGTTACTGGAAGGGAACCTCGGGGTTGTCTCGGAGAAAAAAAGACGGGGTTTAGGGGGAAAATATTCCACTAAACAAAACCAAGCCCAGAAAACAGCCCCGAGGGCTCCACCGCACCGCGCGGGGATGAGGCGCGGGGGGAGCGGCCCCGGGGGCGCGGGAGTGTCCGGGCGGCAGCGCTGAGTCACGGCGGGACGGGACGGGACGGGACGGCTCTCCCCCATCTACCGGACGGGGGGGCACCGGGCACCGGGCACAGCGCATCCCGCGGCGGAGGGGCGGCGGAGGCGGCGGGCACTGCGGGCACAGAGCCGGCATCGGAGCGGCCCCCGAGGACCGGTGCCTTTCTGCCCCCCGGGGGCGGTCCCGGGCCGGGCGGGGCGGGGCGAGGGCGGCATTTAGGGCTTTGGCAGAGCGGGGGCTGCTCAGACTTGTTCGCGACTTCCCCGGACGTGTCGGTGCGCTCCGCCGCTGTGGGCACCGACGGGCACCGACCCTACCCCCCCCCCCCCATGCCGGCCATGCCGGCCCTTCTACCGCTGCTGTTGCTGTGCCTGCGGCTGCTCCGCGCTGAGCCGCCCGCGTGTGAGTACGGCCTGGTGGGGTTCGGGGGGGCCGTGCCAGAGCGGACGCCGTCGGGGCTGGGATTGGGGTTGGGGTTGGGGCGGGCGCTGCGCGGGGACCCCCGGCTCTGTGCCGCCGCTCTCCTCCCCTCTCTCCTTTCTCCTCTCCCCCTTCCCTCATTCATTCCGGTCCTTGTGCCCCCCCCACCCCCCCACTTCCTCCCCCCGCCTTTCCGGGTTGCGTCCCCCCGGGGCTGCGCTCCCCTCCCGCGGGGCGATGGGAACCACCCGCCCCACTCCCTCCTCGGGACGGAGAGTGACGGGAACCCCTGGCAGCGCCCGACCCCCCTCCCTGTGCCCGACAGCGAACAATGGGACCCCCCCCTCCCCCCCTCCCGCATACTCCCCCCCCAGGGGAGACTTGTCCCCCACCCATCGCCCCCTGGGAGCCGTGTGTCCCCTCCTCTCCCCATGGCGCAACCCCTCCGGATCGCCGTCTCCTGCGGAGCAGCGCAGCTCCGCTCCCCCACCCCGGACAATGGACCCCCCCCTCCGTCTGGAGAACAATAGCGAACCCCACACGGCGATCCACGACCCCCCCGGCCCGCAGGGCTGACCTTCCCCAAAGCCCCCGGAGAACAATAGGCGCCCCTTTCCCCCCATGGAGAACAATGAGCCCCCCCCCTCCCCGTCCCAGAGAACAATGAATCCCCCCTTCTCCCCCATCAGAACAATAGGGAGCGCCCACCCCTGCGGAGAACAACGGATCGCCCTCAAAAAAGGAGAGCGGGTCCCTGGAGGGGGTTCCTTACGGGGGGGGTGGGAGGGGGGAGTTGGGGACAGACGTGGAGATGCCACACCTGGGGTGGGTTCTGCGCTGGGGTCCAGCGGCGGTGCCTTGGGGTCCCGCGAGGCTGCGAGCGCGGAGCGGCCCCATTCGCGTTCCCCACGGCTGGAGGTTCGGCTCCTCGGGGCGATGTTCGCCCAGCGCGTCCCGGCCCGGGGTGGCACCGTGGTGGCACCGCGGTCCCCATCCCGCCCCGCGTCCATCGGCTCGCGTGCCCCGAGCGCTGCGGGTCATTCACGGGAAGAATCACGGAGCGCTGATCGGGGCTGGGCTGCGAAAGCAGCCGCGGCGGAGAAGCAAAACGCGGTGGGAGCGAGAAGGGAAAGCGCTCTCCGGGTTCTCACGTTGCCCGTAGGGCTGCGGGGTGGCACAGCGCTCCAGAGCTCGGCCCCACCGCCGCTCCCCCGCCCCACGGCCGCAGGGACCCCCGGGTCCCGTCCCGCCGAGCGGTGACCCCGCGCTCCCCACCTCCTTTGTCCCACGGTCGGAGTTCGGTCCCGCGGCCCCGACGTGCGGCAGCGCTGGAACGGGCGCAGCCAAATCTCCTTTTAGAGAGCGAAGTTCCGCGCTGGAATGCCGCGAGCCGAGGGACGGGCATCAGAACCGCCATCGGCGGAGGAGAGGGCGAGAGGGGGGGAGCGCAGCGGGACGCGGCCCCGTCTCTTCACACCCATTTCGCTTGATTTTTTTTCAGCGCCGCCCAAATCTCCTTTTGTTCTTCGGAGCAATCGTTGCTTTCGGTCTCCGCGAGCCCCAATAAACGTGTCGGAGCTCTCGGACGCTGAGCGGGGGGTTTCCCTTTTCTCTCGCAGCCCTTAAAACGCCTCGATGTAAAACCGAAAGGCGATCCGGCCCTTCGGAAGAGGAGCGCAAACGTTCCCGACACCCTGAAATGTGCTTTTACTTTATGGCGTTACTTAACACCTGAGCAGCATTTGTTTTTTTTACAATAGGAAGGCAATAAAACCCCGGGCAGGTATTCTCGCTGCGCATTCCACCACCCCCCGGCCCGCTCCGCTCCCATCTGAAAACTTCACACTTTTCCCTTTTATAACACATGTGGCTGCGAAAGAAAAAGGAATGACTGCGAGAGGAGAAAAGCCAAAGGGACGCGGCCCGTGAGCGGCGTGCTTTGTGCTGCAGGCGGTCGGATCGGCTGCGGTTGGGGCCGAGGGCTGCCCGTGGGGGGGCTGAGGGGTGGTGGGGGCTGCAGCCCACCCGGGTGTGGGGGCTGTTCGGAGCCCCCCCCCCAGCACTGCGGGGCACGCGGGGCCGCACTGAGCTGCCGCTGAAAGCCGATCGGGGCCGGGAGGTCGGAGGGGAGCGGAGGTCGAGGCGCTTTCCGGGAGGTAATTAGCAATATTAGCCCGGCACGCGCGGCCCCGCAGCGCCTCGGCAACGAGTGCTGGGGGATGTCAGCCCCGGGTCGTTTTCCCCTGCGGAACGTGCGAGCAGCCCGCTGTGCTTTGAAGCCTTTCCGTGCGCGGTTTGCTCTCCTCCCAAAGCAGGGAAGCGAGGGCGATGGGCGCCGGGGGGTCCCGGTAGAGGATGTGGGTCCCCCCCAACCCCGCAGCGCGGTGCAGCAGCAGCACATGGTTTGCGTTAGGGTGCTCAGCGCTGCGGTGCTCGCCGCGGAGCAACAGAAAGCCAAAAAACCAAACCGCCCCCAAACTTTCCATTGTTGCTTTCCAATGGGGGGAAAAAGCCGGAGCCCGGCCGCAAAGCGGGCACGGAGCGATGCGCACCGGGCACCCGACGGCACCGCAGCCCACGGGGAGCTCCACGGTGCCGTGCTGCGCCGCGCATCGCTCCCCTTCCTGTTGTCTCCGGCCGCAGACCCTGCAGTGATCTCCCCTCAGGACCCCACGCTGCTCATCGGTTCCTCCCTGACCGCCACCTGCACCGTCAGCGCCGACCTCCGCCTGCGCGCGCAGGACCTGTACTGGACGCTGAACGGCCGCCGTCTGCCCGCCGCCTCCTACGCCGCCCTCGGCCCCACCACGCTCAGCGTGGCCCTCGCCCGCCTCAACGGCTCCCGGCAGCAGTCGGGGGACAACCTGGTGTGCCACAGCCGTGACGGCGGCATCCTGGCCGGCTCCTGCCTCTATGTTGGACGTACGTCGGGCGCGTCCGTCCATCTCCATCGTGCTGCCGTTGCCCCTCGGCGCAGCGCTGTCGCCCCAAGGCCGCGCGGCGCTTTTGGCACCTCGTGCTGAAATTACAGTTGTCCGAATCAATAATCGTTAAGATTTTATCTCGGGCTATTTTAAGGATGATTTTACGTTCTAAGAATACAGAGGCTTAACTGGGAACAGAGCGCTTATTTTTATTTA